TTTTTTCTTCTTTTTCTTCTTCTCCTTCTTCTTCTTCATCTTATTTTTTTATTATTATTTCTCTACTTCTACTTCTTCTCCTTCTTCTTCTTCTTCTTCTTCTCCCTCTTCTTCTTCGTGTTATCATTATTCTATAGATAAATAAAAATAGAAGAAAAAATACAAGAATAAAAAAAAATTAAGAAGAAGAAGGAGAAGAGGAAGAAAAATAATAAAGATAAGATGGAAAAGGAGGAGGAAAAGAAGAAGAAGGAGGAGAACAAGAAATAGAAAAAGAAGAAGGAAGAGGAGGAAAAGGAGAACAAAATAATAACAATAATAACTATTATTATTATTATTATTATTATAATGATAAGGATAATGATAAGGAAGAGGAGGAGGAGAAGAAGAAAAAGAAAAAGAAGAAGAAGGAAGAGGAGAAGAAGAAGAATGAGGAGGAGAAAAAGAAGAAGAAGAAGAAGGAGGAGGATTATAATAATAATAATAAGAGGAGGAGGAGGAGGAAGAGAAAGAAGGAGAAGAAGAAGAAGAAGGAGGAGGAGGAGGGGAAGAAGAAGAAAAAGAAGAAGAAGAGGAGGAGGAGGAGGAAGAAGAAAAAGAAGAAGAAGGAGAAAAGTCTGGACGAAAAGCGACCCGTCACACGTCAGTCGACTGCCATCAGCCGTAATTCAATATTTAGCATGAATTATTGATGGTAAATTCTCTTCACTGAATTTTCTCATGTGTGGACTTGGCGGACGTCGCGAGAATACTAATGGCTCTACGCGCTCGAGGTGGTGATGTCTGGTGGCTGTTTTTGGTCGTGTTTCGGGATTCTGGTTCTTTGGTTGTGGTTCTGGCTGTGTTAGGGATGTCCGGCGGTGTTCGGAATTTTTTTCTTTTTCTTTTTTTTTTTTTTTGGGAGAGCAGCAGGATGTGGGGAGAGCAGGAAGGAGGCGGAGGGGGATGTGGGGAGAGCAGCAGGAGGTGGTGAGAGCAGCAGGATGCTGAGGAGGAGGTGGGCGAGAGCAGCAGGAGGAGGAGGAGGAGGAAAAAAGAAGAAGAAGAGGAGGAGGAGGAGAATAATAATAATAATAATAATAATAATAATAATAATAATAATAATAATAATAATAAGAGGAGGAGGAGGAGGTGGGAGAGCAAGCAGGAGGTGGGGAAGCAGCAGGAGCGGAGGAGGATGTGGGGAGAGCACAGAGGCGGAGGAGGAGGCTGGGGGAAATGAGAGAAAGAGAGAGAGAGAGAGTCTCGGGAAGTCCGAGAGAGAATACGGAAAAGGTGAATTTTTAAAAACTCAGACTTGGAAGAGAGAAAAAAAAGAAGAAGAAGAAGAAGAAGAAGAAGAGGAGCAGGAGGAGGTGGGGAGAGCAGCAGGAGGCGGAGGAGGAGGTGGGGAGAGCAGGAGGAGGTGGGAGAGAGCAGGAGGCGGAGGAGGAGGTGGGGAGAGCAGGAAGGAGGTGGGAGAGCAGCGGAGGTGGGAGAGCAGCAGGAGGCGGAGGAGGAGGTGGGAGAGCAGGAGGAGGTGGAGGAGCAGCAGGAGGTGGGGAGAGCAGCAGGAGGCGGAGAGGAGGTGGGGGAGAGCAGGAGGAGGTGGGGAGAGCAGCAGAGGTGGGGAGAGCAGCAGGAGGCGGAGGAGGAGGTGGGGAGAGCAGGAGGAGGTGGGGAGAGCAGCAGGAAGCGGAGGAGGGGTGGGGAGAGCAGAGGAGGTGGGGAGAGCAGCAGGAAGCGGAGGAGGAGGTGGGGAGAGCAGGAGGAGGTGGGAGAGCAGCAGGAGGGTGGGGAGAGCAGCAGGAGGCGGAGGAGGAGGTGGGGAGAGCAGGAGGAGGTGGGGAGAGCAGCAGGAGGTGGGGGAGAGCCAGCAGAGGCGGAGGAGGAGGTGGGGGAGAGCAGGAGGAGGTGGGGAGAGCAGCAGGAGGTGGGAAGAGCAGCAGGAGGCGGAGGAGGAGGTGGGGAGAGCAGGAGGAGGTGGGGAGAGCAGCAGGAAGCGGAGGAGGAGGTGGGGAGAGCAGGAGGAGGGGGGGAGAGCAGCAGGAGGTGGGGAGAGCAGCAGGAGGCGGAGGAGGAGGTGGGGAGAGCAGCAGGAGGTGGGGAGAGCAGCAGGAAGCGGAGGAGGAGGTGGGGAGAGCAGGAGGAGGTGGGGAGAGCAGCAGGAGGTGGGGAGAGCAGCAGGAGGCGGAGGAGGAGGTGGGGAGAGCAGGAGGAGGTGGGGAGAGCAGCAGGAAGCGGAGGAGGAGGTGGGGAGAGCAGCAGGAGGCGGAGGAGGAGGTGGGGAGAGCAGCAGGAGGCGGAGGAGGAGGTGGGGAGAGCAGCAGGAGGCGGAGGGGGAGGTGGGGAGAGCAGCAGGAGGCGGAGGAGGAGGTGGGGAGAGCAGGAGGAGGTGGGGAGAGCAGCAGGAGGCGGAGGAGGAGGTGGGGAGAGCAGGAGGAGGCGGAGGAGGAGGTGGGGAGAGCAGCAGGAGGCGGAGGAGGAGGTGGGGAGAGCAGCAGGAGGAGGTGGGGAGAGCAGCAGGAGGTGGGGAGAGCAGCAGGAGGCGGAGGAGGAGGTGGGGAGAGCAGCAGGAGGCGGAGGGGGAGGTGGGGAGAGCAGCAGGAGGTGGGGAGAGCAGCAGGAGGTGGGGAGAGCAGCAGGAGGCGGAGGAGGAGGTGGGGAGAGCAGCAGGAGGCGGAGGGGGAGGTGGGGAGAGCAGCAGGAGGCGGAGGAGGAGGTGGGGAGAGCAGCAGGAGGTGGGGAGAGCAGCAGGAGGCGGAGGAGGAGGTGGGGAGAGCAGCAGGAGGCGGAGGGGAGGGGGGGAGAGCAGCAGGAGGTGGGAGAGCAGGAGGTGGGGAGAGCAGCAGGAGGCGGAGGAGGAGGTGGGGAGAGCAGCAGGAGGCGGAGGAGGAGGTGGGGAGAGCAGCAGGAGGCGGAGGAGGAGGTGGGGAGAGCAGCAGGAGGCGGAGGGGGAGGTGGGGAGAGCAGCAGGAGGCGGAGGAGGAGGTGGGGAGAGCAGCAGGAGGCGGAGGAGGAGGTGGGAGAGCAGCAGGAGGCGGAGGAGGAGGTGGGGAGAGCAGCAGGAGGCGGAGGAGGAGGTGGGGAGAGCAGCAGGAGGCGGAGGGGGAGGTGGGGAGAGCAGCAGGAGGCGGAGGGGGAGGTGGGGAGAGCAGCAGGAGGCGGAGGAGGTGGGGAGAGCAGCAGGAGGCGGAGGAGGAGGTGGGGAGAGCAGCAGGAGGCGGAGGAGGAGGTGGGGAGAGCAGCAGGAGGCGGAGGAGGAGGTGGGGAGAGCAGGAGGAGGCGGAGGAGGAGGTGGGGAGAGCAGCAGGAGGTGGGGAGAGCAGCAGGAGGCGGAGGAGGAGGTGGGGAGAGCAGCAGGAGGAGGTGGGGGAGAGCAGCAGGAGGCGGAGGAGGAGGTGGGGAGAGCAGCAGGAGGCGGAGGAGGAGGTGGGGAGAGCAGCAGGAGGCGGAGGAGGAGGTGGGGAGAGCAGCAGGAGGCGGAGGAGGAGGTGGGGAGAGCAGCAGGAGGCGGAGGGGGAGGTGGGGAGAGCAGCAGGAGGCGGAGGAGGAGGTGGGGAGAGCAGCAGGAGGCGGAGGAGGAGGTGGGGAGAGCAGCAGGAGGCGGAGGGGGAGGTGGGGAGAGCAGCAGGAGGCGGAGGGGAGGTGGGGAGAGCAGCAGGAGGCGGAGGGGGAGGTGGGGAGAGCAGCAGGAGGCGGAGGAGGAGGTGGGGAGAGCAGCAGGAGGCGGAGGAGGAGGTGGGGAGAGCAGCAGGAGGCGGAGGGGGAGGTGGGGAGAGCAGCAGGAGGCGGAGGGGAGGTGGGGAGAGCAGCAGGAGGCGGAGGAGGGAGGTGGGGAGAGCAGCAGGAGGCGGAGGAGGAGGTGGGGAGAGCAGCAGGAGGCGGAGGAGGAGGTGGGGAGAGCAGCAGGAGGCGGAGGGGAGGTGGGGAGAGCAGCAGGAGGCGGAGGAGGAGGTGGGGAGAGCAGCAGGAGGCGGAGGGGGAGGTGGGGAGAGCAGCAGGAGGTGGGGAGAGCAGCAGGAGGCGGAGGAGGAAGGTGGGGAGAGCAGCAGGAGGCGGAGGGGGAGGGGGGGGAGAGCAGCAGGAGGTGGGGAGAGCAGCAGGAGGCGGAGGAGGAGGTGGGGAGAGCAGCAGGAGGCGGAGGAGGAGGTGGGGAGAGCAGCAGGAGGGAGGGGTGGGGAGAGCAGCAGGAGGCGGAGGAGGAGGTGGGGAGAGCAGCAGGAGGCGGAGGAGGAGGTGGGGAGAGCAGCAGGAGGTGGGGAGAGCAGCAGGAGGTGGGGAGAGCAGCAGGAGGCGGAGGAGGAGGTGGGGAGAGCAGCAGGAGGCGGAGGAGGAGGTGGGGAGAGCAGCAGGAGGCGGAGGGGGAGGTGGGGAGAGCAGCAGGAGGCGGAGGGGGAGGTGGGGAGAGCAGCAGGAGGCGGAGGGGGAGGTGGGGAGAGCAGCAGGAGGCGGAGGAGGAGGTGGGGAGAGCAGCAGGAGGCGGAGGAGGAGGTGGGGAGAGCAGCAGGAGGTGGGGAGAGCAGCAGGAGGCGGAGGAGGAGGTGGGGAGAGCAGCAGGAGGCGGAGGGGGAGGGGGGGAGAGCAGCAGGAGGTGGGGAGAGCAGCAGGAGGTGGGGAGAGCAGCAGGAGGCGGAGGAGGAGGTGGGGAGAGCAGCAGGAGGCGGAGGAGGAGGTGGGGAGAGCAGCAGGAGGCGGAGGGGAGGTGGGGAGAGCAGCAGGAGGCGGAGGGGGAGGTGGGGAGAGCAGCAGGAGGCGGAGGAGGAGGTGGGGAGAGCAGCAGGAGGCGGAGGGGAGGTGGGGAGAGCAGCAGGAGGCGGAGGAGGAGGTGGGGAGAGCAGCAGGAGGCGGAGGGGGAGGTGGGGAGAGCAGCAGGAGGCGGAGGGGGAGGGGGGAGAGCAGGAGGAGGCGGAGGGGGAGGTGGGGAGAGCAGCAGGAGGCGGAGGGGGAGGTGGGGAGAGCAGCAGGAGGCGGAGGGGGAGGTGGGGAGAGCAGCAGGAGGCGGAGGAGGAGGTGGGGAG